ATGGGGTACAGGTTTGTCTGTTGCGGAGGAAGTAAAGCCAGCACAAGACACTCTCTGAAGTTCTCTGAAAAAGTGTTGGAAAAAGATGGAGTCCAGAATACTGAAAAAATTGTAGAATCGAGACCAGACAGAGTGCAAGTGGTAACTAAGGCAAAACGTCGCCATAGCAAAGATTGAGACATTTTGATGGCTAGAAAAGACGAACAAACATTTGTTCCCAACTTAGTCGGACGGGTGGGGAGACCTTGTGGAATGTGGCGCCCGGTACAGCGCATGCTGCTCTCAAAGTTTCATGATGATTGTCGGCATTAGCCCACGGACGCGGTAGATTCGCAGACATTTGGTCGGCAACCTGGTCGTCTTGGAATGTGCCAGGCCAACGGTGTGATGCTTGAGATCATCGTGAATATTGGAGGGCAGAGGATGCTGGCCGAGGTGGTATATTCTACAAGGTCTGTTTGTCGATTCAACCGAGTTGCAAAACAGGGTCAAATTAATCTTGTGCACATTTTTCGTTTGTAGGTAGAGTTTCAAAGCTACCGGTAAATCACCGTTTTGAGATGTATTCAGCCTATTTCGCTTAAACTGGTGAAGGACTGGTCGGTTGAAGGCCCGGGTTCGAGTCCCGCGAGGGGTGCTGATGAGACCAGTTCAGGCGAGGTCGAAACTGCACTCCATTCCAGTCCAGTCCAGTCCAAGTGAAATGTGAATTGAAGAGGCCATCTCTCATCACCTCGAACGAAATAGGAGGAATAAAGCGGCTCGCGCATCATATCTACAAGTAGTCTCGAAAGCCTGCACATGAAAGTGAAAATTATCTAATCTTGTTTGGAAATTATCAAAATTTCTCAATATTTTAATCAGTTTTTCTATAAATGCTGCAACAATCACGGTGCGGAAAGGACTGGAATTTGGAAATTAATCGGGCCAATCACCGCCTCAACGCCTCAGGCGGGATTCGAGTCTCGACTCCATCGCGACAACTATTTGCCACGAGACGATTTGGAGGACCGGTCTGGTCGAGCGGACTAGGACCCTTCTTTCGGGGAGAGAGACCCTTTCGACGTCGCTCTCGGCGTCCTTGCTCGAGTCCCGGACGCGATGACTCACCTGAGAGCCGCGCTGGCTCGACTGCATTCCGGCCGGGGTGGTGGTGCGACTGGCGCCGGCGCTGGCCGACGCTCCGTTGCGCAGAATCCCGCCGGCCGGAGGGCCGCTGCTAGGGCCACTGTGGCTGTTGGATCGGCCCGCCGGCTTGCGTCCGGTCGCCGCGGGGGTGATGCTCGAACCTCGGCTCTGGTAGGTGCCGGGGCTCGAGACCGTCGCAGCGCCAGGTTCGCAGCGTCGCGAGGCCGATCCGCTCGGATAGGCTCCCGTGAAGACGCTGCCACCGACGCCGACGCCGACGCCGACGTTGACGCCGACGTTGACGCCGACATTGTCGCTACCGCCGCCCGATCCGGCCCGATCATGACTCGACGGAGCTGGCGTGGAAGTGGTGTTCAATTGAGTCATCGCCTCCACCTGCCGAATGATCTCTCGCACCGACGGCAGAATGTGCGAATCCTCTTCGTCCTGTCTTGCCGTAAGAGACGACCGAGAAGCCGGCCAGCAGACAATGATAGAGAGAGAGAGATAGAGGAAGAGGAAAAAACATTTATTCAAAGTAAATAATAATTATTTTTGCCAGTTGATTAATTGCCTCATACGGTGTCGTAGGAGTTACCACTTAGCCAATTGGCGCTAAAAGATGAATACCTAATTGACAATTAATTATAGTCAGTAAAAGTCAATAGCTAATTTATACTTGATACATAATTAATTATTTATTTTACTCGTTCATACATATTATATATATATATATATATATATATAAATGATATACTGTTAGTTTCGAAAGCCTACTTATAAACGTAAAATAGATAACATAGTCGATCTCTGCAGCAAATACCACTTTTCTTCATCGAAAATCCCACCACCGAATGTGCTCTGGGAAATGGCC